CAAATCGTGGCTGTTGACCCCAACTTCTTTCTTGTCGCTGCCAAAGTAAAAGTGCGAGATCCGGTGCGACCTGAACAGAGCGTCATTGTAGCCCCCTTCATGAATCGTCCCCCCATTGACGTGCACATACCACTCGTTGTTTTTATCCATTTCCATCACCACCTGATATGTTTTGTTTACCTCCCACGTTTCCGTAGACTCTTTGATGACTCTGCGACCCCCCCGAAATCCCCACTTCTTGCCCTTCGTGTAGAACAGCTCAAAGAGCGCAGTGCCTTCTGTGTTATTCATCCTCACACCCATCAAAGGAACAGGAGTCTCTGCCTCCGGCACCGCGTTAATCATCACCGTCACCACAAGAGCAAACTTGTTGTTCGCAAAGTAGTACGGCTGGTTCTGCCCCTTGCTGCCCACCGGCCACTCCGCCCCCGCCCCAACGCCTTTGAACGTCACGCCCCACTCATCGCTTGTCACTCCATCTGTTACGGTTGCGTTCACGCCGAGGTACTCGTCCTTCCATAAATTCCCCTCCAAACTGTTGGACCAAACGCCAACCAGCCCTTCCGTGGGAATAGGGCCCTTACACACATTCTTTATTCCCAGGTCAACAGTGCCAGTGGAAGCACAGTTTGTTAGTACCTTGCCCAATGCAGTCCAATTCTGCACCACCTCTTGTATCTGCGGCAGCTTGTCTTTCAGGCTCAGAGCGACAAGACTGTATGACTCATCTCCGCTCTTCTTCTCGTACAGTAAAATCAACTCCTTCTTCGCGGCTCTGTAAAGCAGGGAGCTGGCGGCAGCGTTATCGCCTGCACGAGATACCGGCCCAAGGTCATGTACACGGGCATTGTCTGTCACCCAAAGATGCAGCTGGCCCTCTCCCTTCTCCGAATACACCGGCGTGGTAAGCAGCATCACCTTCTCTCCATCGATGTCTGCAGCGACGAAGCCGCTCCGGACGCCGTCCCCTCCTTGACGCTTCAGTGAGGTGCCCCACACGCGAGAAATTGGCTCACCCACGTCGTACCAACTTCTACCAGCCGCCAAACCATTGTAAACATCGTAAAAGCCTTGCCCACAGTGAGCCATCATGAGGAGGCTTTTCTCCTTCCACTCCGCGATGGATGGTTCCCTGCAGCCCTCACCGGTCGTACCCTGTGGAAACTCCCATTTCTTCTCTGACGGGGTGAAACGTATGGACAACAAAACGTCCTTTCCTTTGTCTGTTGCCCGCATGGGAAACACAAGCGTGCCGTCACTCATCACAACACCCGACCCTCCGCCACCAACCAACCGAGTCAAAGACCCATGAAGTCCCTTGGTCTCAAGATTCAATACGGCAGTCTTATCCCATTGGATTCTCTTTGTTCCGTCATTATTTCCACTGACTGTTCCCTTCACCAGCAACAGCCCCAAGCCATCTTTACCGGAACCTTGAGGTTCAGACTCTGTGCGGCTGTAGTTTCCAAGCAGCATGTAGACATCGCTGCCAACTGCCATTGTGGTTGGTTGCATTATCTTTGTTGCCTTGCCGCTAGCCGCGCCACTTGTCTCCTCAAATTGTGTGCAAAAGACACTTGCGTCTGTCGTCGGGATCTCCTTTGCAGCATCATCAATTTGATTGAGGGGCACCGACACGATGCCAGTGAAGCTGCTGTCCTCTTCCTCCTTCTTGCACTGAGCCTCAGCAACGGCAAACACATCATCCCCAACCCTCACAAGGCTGGGAACACGCAGCGAACAGGCTGATGCACAACTTCCTTCAATTTCTTCCCATTTAGCA